CTTGGGCTGCTTCGCCAGGTGGCCTCTCCAAGGCTGTAGTGTCTGCTGAGGTGAATGGACAACCCGTCAACACCCTAGTAGCCACAGGAAGCTTTTAGAGCTTTGTGAGCTATGACATCACCGCTTACCACGACTGATAGATGGCTTCTACGTCATTATGTTCTGCATTCCATTTTCAGACATAGACGTCACTGCTGGCCAACAACGATTCGTGACGACAGAGCACAAAAAGCCAGCAGATGCCAGAGGTGCCCCAGTGCAAAAGGCGAATGCCCCGACCGGTACAAGATCGGTGTAGTGTGCTTCTAAGAGCCTTTAAACTCTGCTCTGATTGGGCGTGACTACCCAGTGAACTGCAGCGCACCAAACAGGTCCTAGTAAATATTGGCGTTCGCGTAAATATTGGCTAAATATCGTTCACCAATTTCGTTGTGACATTGGAGATCGCAGGCTTCTAAAGGAATCAAACTACGTTGGTGCCACTAGCACCACACTTTGAAGGCGGTTTACGATGCACTTGGCTGACAGTGCTCCAAAAGAGCGCGTGCGAAAAGAATACGGCCGGAACATCAACCGAAACGACCTCAGCAGAAACACTACCATCAAAACATCATCAAACAGGAGGAAGCCTTATGTTCTGGAGGCTGTCACGATCAACACATCGTCACCGGAACTAAAAAGGCAAGCCAATCCCTCAGTTACCCTTCACCTCATTTAGACGCGATCGATACCATCCGTAGGTGGTAAACCTTACCATTCAGCGCGTAGTCTTATCGCTTGAATCCTTATGCTCCTAAGCCAATCACCTAATTTAGACTCTATACCATTTGGCGATCGAACTGAAGCTTGATGAAACTTAATTGTCATACCTTACTAGCTATACCAAACTGCAATATGTAATCATATATTAGTCCACTTGTATGCTACGTGTGTTACTTTGAAAATGAAATGCGTGATCCTAAAACGTTAATACAATAAATAGATGCCAAATATCGGCAAGCTACTTGTCAGTCTCAATGATGAGCAGAGAGCCATAATCAGAAAACTCAGGCAAGGACAGGAAAAGCTTATGAAATGTACCTAGACCAAGGTCTTTTAGAACACTTGCATATTTGAATATATATATATATATATATATATATATATATATATATATATATATATATATATTCATATAATGAAAGATGCCCAAATATAACTATAAAGTTTGCTTAACGTTTCATGAAAAGTCTAGCCGATGTATCGTAGGCGTGATGCGTAGTATAATGTATCTTACCGATATCCTTGCACAAACCCGCATCTTTTCAAAAGTCTGTGCCCAATACAACGCGTTACCCATCTCATATGGGCAACTGTGGGCGTGTCTAGTCTGAGATGTCATCAAACTGCGGTTAGACACATTTCATTAGCAGTTGGAAACGACTACAAAAGTCGACATGCCTTCCTGCGCATGGCTGATGTTATCCAGCTGTAGGAAGCACGGTCCTGCTAACATTGCCATTGGAGGACTTGTAGGTGATGAGGTTTGATGCAAAACGGTCTCGATACAGGGCCGGACAGGTGAAATTTCATCTGCTTGGAAAAATAAGCCATACAGCCAGGATTTCGCCTAGGAGGTGTCGAATCATATCATTCAGGCCCTTTCAGCCTCTTCGTCGCTTGGGGTCTGCTTATGGCTTGGGACCTTTTCAGGCTTGGAATCTTTCTTTGCTGCCTCGGGTGTCCGTTTAATGACTGCCTTAAAAGCCTTACGGTTCTCTAAAACTGGCAGAGTACTGAAGTATCCTGGCCTCATCCCACCCTCCGCCCCCCGCCACGTCCAGGGATGTCTCAGCTCCAAAGTCCCCTGACTTTGCCACTGAACGCAGCATTTGGTAAATGGTTGTGTTGAGCACCTGCTACCAATTAAAAGAAGAAAACATCAGCCATGTCAATCCGAGATAACTCAGATGTTCTAAAAGCGAATGTTCTGTTCTGTTGTTCTTTGACAGAGACGTCTTGAATAGTCGCGAACATTTGACAACAAGAACAAATATCACTCATTTCCACACGTGTTTGACTTAGTGCCGTGCAGTGCGGCCGGGTAACATTATGAGCCCGAGAATGTGAAACTTTCAGCGTGGCGCAGGCGGTGAAATAAAGAGGTCACCGGGTCATGGGAATCCCACCATCATATTCAAGTAAAATTGCGCCGGGAAGATTAATGGCGGCCGTGTTTCTAAGCAAGGGATCTGGTAACTGGATCGCCGGCACGGAAAGTGACGAAACATTTGAAGAATCTTCTCACGCAACCACGGCCCTGAACCGACCGTGTCCGCCACGCTTTTGATTTAATAATAAGCGTAGATGATTGATAGGCGTCGAGCGAAACCGGCGAATGTCATGACGAATTCATTACTCGTGCAGTGAATGTGCAGTGTGAGATTAAGATCAACATGTCAGGAGAAGAAGGAATGCTGTGCGGTGAGCTCTTATGCATGAATGAGACCCATCGTATGACGCATGTGCATATAAATAAATAATAAATAAATAAATAATATATATACATATGTATATATATACATATATATATATATATAGTATATATATATATACATATATATATATAAGCACACATATATTGCCAACCTTCGCACAGCACGCAGCACTTTCGAAAGGAACTATAGTGGACTGGATGCGGCTCAAGTGTCAATAGAGAACAGCAGCTCACCAATGAATACGGGGGAGCTAACCGGTCAATACGGGGCAGCTCGCCGATCAATATGGTACAGCTCACCGATGAATACGGGAGCGCTCACCGGTCAATACGGGACAGTTCGCTGGTCAATGCGGGGCAGCTCACCGGTCAATACGGGACAGTTTACCGGCCAATACGGGACAGCTCGTCGGTCAATACGGGACAGGTCGTCGGTCAATACGGGACAGCTCCCCAGTCAATGCGGGACAGCTCGTCGGTCAATACGAGATAGTTTTACCGGTCAATACCGGACAGCTCGCCGTTCAATAGAGAGCAGCTCGTCATGAGTTCGAATTATGAGTGTGAGCTCTGACTGTCAACGGAGCCCGAAATGAACGAACTGCAGGTTGGCGCAGGGCTTGAGCTGTTACTGCGCACGGAGTCTGTGGTGAGCGGACTGCCAGGTGGTGCAGGGCACCAGCCCGTGTCCCATCCACACCGTCCGGCTATCCGCAATCTGCGTCCGTCTGTCAGCAGTCCTGACGTCTGACCTGATCCATGCGTGGTTTGTCAGTGGCTGCCGGCTGTTCGCGGTAGGTTAGTCTATGGCTGAGACCTGACTGTGGTCTGCACGCGGCATTGCGCCCGATGTTGCAATACACGCAACCACTAGGTCAGTGAAAAAATGTGCACCATTCGGGCCGAAGTGCGCAGTTACTAGACCTGAAGAGCACGGCTGGCTCGTGCGGAGCCGGGGGGCAGGTGTTGCAGGTCGGATGTTGTAACTGCTGCGGCTGGCCGACGCTCGCCAGTCAGACCTGCGGCGGGTGGCAGGTGGCGGGTGGCGAGCGGCGGGCGGCGGGCGGCGGGCGGCGGGCGGCGGGCGCGGCCGGAGAGCGGGTGGGAGGCGCGGCACCGGCCCAGGCGGCGCCGATGGCCGAACACCTCGACAGGGGCCGCCCGCTGCGGCGGGCACGGCGCACCGCGCCTGACCAGGCGACGTGTGCGGAGCGTCTGCCCTCGTATTGGCGCCAGCTGCGGTACCGGGCTTGGCATAAGCCTGACCTCGAATAACAGCCGCAGATGTTACATACATTAATAACCTTCGCAATGTAAGCATTTGACGCTTAAAGGTCGATTGAGTATAAATAACTAGCCTACCAAGTGCCGAAAATAGAGCGCAAAGTACAGGCCAGTAGCGATTTTCCGCATTTTCGCCCTGCGATTGTTTGAACACACGGCTGCAGTCAGAGGCGTAGTCAAAGGGAAGCCCGAGGGCCCGCCCCCGCCCCCCTAGACCCGGATTTTTTGTGCTTCACCATAGATGGCTTCCGACAGAATGTAAAAATCGGCGTGATGCGTACCCTTCTGAGTCCCCACCGAGTTCTGGGTCCCCCCTCGCATGTCCCTTGGGTCCCTCCCTGGGTCCCTCCCTTAAAATGTCAAAGCTGCGCCACCGGCCACAGCCCAGTACCTGGAAGCAGGAATTTCATGCGGGAATGCCATCATGCCAACACCAATATCATATAATAATGATCATCGCACGTGGATGGGATATCTATTGCGGGGAGCGAAGGGCCGCATCAATTGCGACAGGAGAGGATCAGGACGCCCAGGGACTCCTCGCATCATCAACGATCATTTTGAAATGGGCAGCGCAGGAACCTGCATTCCAGCTCGCGCACAAAGGTCGCACCTCTGTGAGGAAACCGTAAACCAAGGCCCCTGCCTCCTTGTTGCGGCGGGACCTCCTGCCGCGCTCGCTGACCAGCTGGCCCAACTAGTTCCATGTTCTGTGCGAAAGCATCACTGGTATTTTGAGCGTTGAGAACCTGACGCCGTTGGGTCGGAGGCCACCACTCCTGTCCCGAGCTTCCCACACTGATCTGCAGCCGTCGCGGAACCTGACGTTGTCGCCTGTGTGCGCGCGTGCGGCATCAAACAGCAATGTCGCGTTAGGGGAAAACAGTCGAAAAGGCCTCGCGCCGCGACTGCCGTAAACGAAACCTCTGTGAAAGCGCCGGACTCGCCTATATTTCGGTATCAGCTGGCCTGATCCACTAGGTGGACATGGTGTCTAAACGTTTAGATTACCCGTGTTACAGACCTCAGTGCAGAACATCTCTTCATACGCGGATGGTTCATGCATGCACGCGAATTTGTTCACTGTTTTTTTCTCGCAAAGTGTACGCAAGACACATCACTTGCTTTGGGGAAAGGAACGAAGGCGGAGAATCACCAATTTTCCAACGAGTAAGCCCCAAGGAGTTGGCACCCGCCGGACGTGGGGCGGCTACACCTTAAGGAATGAAAACTCGCAGTCTCTCACTTCGGCGTGTTCCGTGTATTTTGTGTAAACTCATCTATAACGTATGACAAGAAATGTTGCGTTAAACATGGCCGCCAGCGTCGTGACGAAGCACAAAACGAGAGAACGGACCGCAAACGAGGGAAAGGAAACGCGTAAAGCGACTGGCGCCCGCCAATAAACGTCTAAAATGACCCTGGGCCAGCGCTGGCTGCCCGAGTACCGCCCCGTGGCGGACGGCGTGCAGAGAACGCCATTGTACTCTGAAGAGAGGGAGAGCAGCGGTGGAGACTTACGTCGCTACCCAGATACCGTCGGTCGCACTCTATCGCGGCGGCTGCGGCGGCGGCGGCGGCGAGCGGACGACTACGCACACTGCGGCAGGCTGCCGCCCACATCACATGAAGCCCCGTCAGGCTGAACCGGCGCCACACACGTCCCATATTGCCAATAAACGATTAACAGCAGACACTAAGCATCACAGTACTTGACATATCGATAACTGCGCACTGGCGGCGCCGGTGCGTCTCTGCGAGGCCGGCGCGGCGCGCGCACGCGCCGGGGCCAGCGCCGGCGCGTCCCGACCACGCCGCGGCCGACTAGTTGAGGTGGAACCCCTTCTCCTGGGTAGCGGCCAGCAGGCGGTCGCGCATGATCTGCTCGCTGCTGTAGTCGGGCAGCTTCAGGTAGTGCACGCACGTGTTGACGCTGGGGAAGCTGCCGTCGCCGGCGTCCACCTTCTTGACGACCGTCAGTCGGGGGTAGAGGTTGGCCAGGCCGCCAGGCGGCAGCGACGAGCAGCCCGTGGCGAACTGCAGGAACCGCTTCCGCTCCGGGCCAGACATCTTCTCTAGGATGCTGACGAACCGCAAAAAGCCCGGACTGCGGCAGCACAAGGATCACGGTCAGGACAGCCCGCGCACACGCTGGCGACCGTCCCACCGCCAGCCGCCAGTCAGCCCGCCGACCGCCACTCCAGTCCAGCAGCACGGGACGCGTATCCTGGTCTGCGTGTGAACGTCCGCACACTTACACGCAGTGAGATGTCAGTGAGTGGGTTCGAAGTTTCGTCTCGTGAGACAAAGCCAAAGGGTGCTCCCGCCCCTATCTCAGCGACCAACAGCACGCCACAAAACACAAAACAGAAAAGTGAGCAGCGGCAACAAGCACAAACACGTGGAGGAAAAATGCACGGGCTGCTGGACAAGCCGACACGAATCATTAGCTAATCCACTAGCAGTGTCGAACGTTAAAACCCGTGTTAAGTTGCTGAGTGAACCGCAGAGTTAAGTGTGTGATGTAGTTAACTTGTGTAAAAGTGTAGCAACATGTGAATAATGAATCGCTGCGTAACTTGTGAATGCTGAAAACTTTTTCACATCATACTTAACACCGATATTACTGCAGTATTTGAAAATCACATCATGGGCAGTAAGATATCGACAAACGCGACGGTACAAATTAGCGCACCACCCGACACCGACTCTTGCCACAGTGCACGGGTGCCGACAGGCGCGGGTTGGCGGAGACGACGCACCCCCAGCGAGCGGAGGCGCACCACACACCTGTCCCGAGAGTAGCCGAGCTTGGGCTCTGTGTAGCTGAGAAGGTCGTCGCGGGTCCACGCCGGTGCCTGGTCGCCACACAGCATCAGCTTGGTCTCGTCCGGGCTGAACGGCCGCAGTCTGCGGCGGCGGGGTGGCCGCAAGGTCAGCGGACAGGGGACGCACGGCTCGCCGCGTACGCGCGGGACACACACACATGCGGGCCGCGCAGAGCATACGCCGCACCGCCCCACCCCCACAGGCCAGACAGCCTCTCGCTGAGCGGGCGCCAACAGCCGGCAGCCGTTCCTGCCCACCACCGGTCGGCCAGGGCAGCTTCAGTAAAACCCTGACGCCTCACGGAGTCGACGGTGTCAGGCGAAAGAGAAACGTCGCTACTGAGAACATGTTTCCTCCAAGCCCGTCCACAGTGTCAACAGTTTACAAAACCGGTCAGATCAGCCTGCATGGTCCTATCATCAATATCCCCTCCCAGTACACATTTGTTTACCATCTGCTGAAGGTCATCGGGTAGCCAATGACTGGGTTCATCCACCATGTGTTCCTGAACATCGATCCGTTCTTTCAAAAGCTTAGGTTGAATGGAATCCAAGTTCACTCACAATGCGTGCCTATGCATTTGCAAACGTAGGCATACTGTGACTATTTAGCAGATGATATTCTCGTTTTGGTTGGCTGTTCTCTCGACCTTAGGTGCATCCTTTTTCAACTGGTGACCTATTTTGTCTGTCATACTTAAGCCCTGAAAGCATGCCTACCCTAAGCCTCTAACCTTGAAGCTCCTGAGGCGACCACCATCCTCAGACCGCAGAACGCCACTCCGTCAGCAAAACCAAACAATCTAGACTACGCGGCAAATCCAAACAAGGCCAAAACAGACACACAAACAGACATAACCTCAGCGAGACGACCGGCCCGGGGCGCTGCGACGCACCGTCTCACCTGGCCATGGCGAACACGCGGTCGAAGCCGGCCTTGAAGGCGTCCAGCTGGCGCGCCAGGCCGCGGCGCAGGTAGAAGTCGGCCATCAGCTCGACGTACTCGTCGACCGTCTGCTCGGTGACGTCCTGGTGCTCGCCGCCGGGCCGCAGCTCGCAGCTGACGTAGCCCAGCGAGCGCGACGGCGACGGGAACGTCATGGTGAGCGCCAGGTCCTCCAGCCGAGAGGAGCCGTCCACCTGCCGGCCGCAGCTCCGTCAGTCGAGGCGGCAGCAGCGCGCGCGGCACACCCCGCCCGCCTAGCCCAGCCGCAGCCCAGCCGCCACGACTGGCGCGCGCGTGGCGTGGGCACGAGGCGCGGCCCAGAGCGAGCCGGTGGGGCCAGTGACGAAGGCAAGGGCAGCGCACAGCCACAGACAGCTCCAAAAACGTCCTGCGCCAGCTACCTAGTGCCCCGATGTCAAACGGTATTCCATGAAGGAGCGTCGACAAAAACAAGAAACAAAAACAACAAAAACAAAAACAACACAAACAGACCTATCGAATCGAGCCAACCCAACACAGAGGATTACCCGTAACGATAATTGGGTGTGTAATATTAGTATGCTATTTGAGTAGCCCGCCTTGCATCATTCCTGCCAACCAGTCGCCAGCGCGTCGGTCGACCCACGGCCGGTTGCAGCTGCCTCGCCATCAGTACGCCGCGAGTGAGCGCGGGGTCGGTCGGCCCACGGTCGGCTGCAGCTGCCTCGCCATCAGTACGCCGCGAGTGAGCGCGGGGTCGGTCGGCCCACGGCCGGCTGCAGCTGCCTCGCCATCAGTACGCCGCGAGTGAGCGCGGCGCTGGCTGGCGGACGACTCACCGTCAGGTTGGCCAGCTGTCGGCGGCGCGCCTCCTCCGACAGCTGCGGATCCTGCAGGATGTGCTGCCGCCGCGAGGCCAGCTGGCGCAGCTGCTGCAGCACGCGCGCCCGCGCCGGGTCGATGGCGGCCAGGTCGTCGAGCGTGAGCACGTCCTGGTACCAGGCGGGCGCCGTCGCCGCCGCCATCTTGGGCGGGTCCAGCTCCAGCTCCTTCTCGCTCTCCATCGAGACGAACGACGAGGTCATCAGGTCGTCCTCGCTGGCCGGCGAGCTGGAGCGGCCGACGCCGTCCATCCTTCAGGGCGGGAACGAGTCAGGCCTGGTGCCACCCGCCACACGGAAGACGGCCGGCGGCTGGCCGCCAGACGGCTGCCGAGAGGCGCCATCTCGCGGGCACGACAAAGCAGGGAGTGTGCTCCCTCAACATCAGCTCATCCCTGGCTGATATTCAGACACCAAGACTGACGCAAGGCGATGTGGAGAAGCGCGAAGCCGCCACGTTAAACCCTCAGCGTGCCTCTGAACACCACCCCGAGTGAGCGCACGCCATCGGGGATGGGCTGCCCGCGACGACACCCGCCCCGGCCGCCCGACAGGCCTCAGCCGGCTTATCCCCGAACGGAGCCTACCTGCTGTGCTCCTCGGCTACGTTGGCCGACGAGATGAGCTTGAGGAAGGGCCGGGAAAGTGGCAGGTCCACCAGCCGCGCGTCCTGCAGCACCTTGGCCAGCAGGATGCCCAGGAAGTGGAACATGGTGACGGCGCGGTCACACTGTTCAGAGTCCTGCAACACGCCCGGCGACGGCTCAGACACATGCCCCCCCGCGCATGCCACGCAGTCGGCTGCCCGCACCGCCGCGCTCGGGCGACGTCCCCAAAACAGAGGGGCGATGTGGCGATTCCATACCACACAGACATCGCGACAACGCGCCAGCAGTGCTGAACGTGCCAGGCCCTGCGCCCGGCCCAGGCAGGGTTGGGGTCGGGGCCGGGGTCTCAGGGTCGGCGTCCCAGGATCACGATCAGGGTCGGGGTCGGGGTCGAGGTCGGGGTCGGGGTCGGGGGCTGACTGACCTGCGGCAACGGCGCTGGGAACAGACCCCCGGGCCGCAGCACGTAGTAGTCGGCCGGCCGGTCGCCTGGCGCCGCCGCCTCGACCTCGGCCGAGAGCAGCGGCTGGTCGTCGCACAGCCACATGCACAGGTCGCGCCGCTCAGCTCGGCAGCCACCAGCGCGTAAAACTCCAGCGTCGGCCCCAGGCCGGTGCCCTCCTCGCCCTCGAACTCCATCTGGCGGCAGCGGCGGCGGCGTACACCACGCCGGACGGGCCATCAAAACCGTGCGGAGGCAGGCGTACAGCCCGGTGAACAGCCCGGTAAACACGGCCACACAGGAGCGGGACTCGCCACCGAAGCAGGCGTACAGCCCGGTGAACAGCCCGGTAAACACGGCCACACAGGATCGGGACTCGCCACCGAGGCAGGCGTACACCCGGTTAACAGCCCGATAAACACGCCACACAGGAGTGGGACTCGCCACGGAGGCAGGCGTACAGCCCGGTGAACAGCCCGGTAAACACGGCCACACGGAGCGGGACTCGCCACCGAGGCAGGCGTACAGCCCGGCGAACAGCCCGGTAAACACGGCCACACAGGAGCAGGACTCGACCGAGGCAGGCCTACAGCCCGCGAACAGCCCGGTAAACACGGCCACACAGGAGCAGGACTCGCCACCGAGGCAGGCGTACAGCCCGGTGAACAGCCCGGTAAACACGGCCACACAGGAGCGGGACTCGCCACCGAGGCAGGCGTACAGCCCGGTAAACACGGCCACACAGGAGCAGGACTCGCCACCGAGGCAGGCGTACAGCCCGGTGAACAGCCCGGTAAACACTCCCACACAGGAGCGGGACTCGCCACCGAGGCAGGCGTACAGCCCGGTTAACAGCCCGGTAAACACGGCCACACAGGAGCAGGACTCGCCACCGAGGCAGGCGTACAGTCCGGTAACAGCCCGGTAAACACGGCCACACAGAAGCGGGACTCGCCATGGAGGCAGGCGCTGATCCCATTCACAGCAAGCCCCCGAGACTCGATACGGACTTGGGAATACGTGGTTGCAGATGAAACCGACCACGATCGGATGAAGCAGATAGTGGCCATCAGCTTTAGGTTGACTCGAGACGGCTCTCAGTGACGTCCGACACCAGCTGGTGGCCGGCTCTCAGTGAGATCCGACACCAGGCGGTGGCCGGCTCTCAGTGAGGTTCGACACCAGCCGGTGGCCGGCTCTCTGTGAGATCCGACACCAGCCGGTGGCCGGCTCTCAGTGAGATCCGACACCAGCCGGTGGCCGGCTCTCAGTGAGATCCGACACCAGGCGGTGGCCGGCTCTCAGTGAGGTCCAACACCAGCCGGCGCCGGCTCTCTCCTCTCAGAGCGGTCCGACACCAGGCGGTGGCCACTCACCTCCAGGATGCCCTCTCGCTCGGCGTGGAAGTCCATGACCTGGACGGCCCAGTCGAGCAGGTCGGGGCCGCGCGGGACGCGCACCCGCTCATGGCGCAGCCGGCCCACGCGGAACTCGTGACCGTCGTCGCGGCGCAGAGCGGCCGGGCCGCGCGTGCGCTCCATGGCCAGCTCGCGCTGCGTCTGCAGCCACACGATCGACCTGCGCGCCACAGGCCAGCGAGGCAAGGCGTCAACAGCGCACAGACTGGCACACTGGACAAACGCCAAACACACAGACACGGCGCACGGAGACGGGGGGGAGGACCACCTGCATCCGCTAAAGACGCCGGTGTCGACCGGCATCTGAAGTGAGACTCTAAGAGCCAGCTGCGGCGGCGGCACGCCACACACACCCATCTCGCGGAAGGGCGCTAAATGCGCCGGCGCCGAGCGCTGGTGCTCGCCGTCGGGGACGCGCCCGTGCCAACGGTCCTGATGAGCCGGCCGTCGGCGCTCGCGCCCGTGACCGCACCTGGACGTGCCGAAGGCAGTGCAGTTGAAGAACATCTGGCGCGTCTCGAACGGAAACAGCATGGGACATTGTCCCTGCAGGCTGTGCGACCAGTCCGGCAGCGCCTGGCAGGCGAGCACCAGCGGGTCCTGGATCTGCTGGCAGAGCTTGTTCGTCAGCTTGCGGCTGACGAACGTCTCCCAGGGGATGTCGAGCGGCGGCTCGTCGTCGGTGTCCTGCTGGCGCGGCCGGCTCTCGCCCACCAGGTGGTACAGCCGCCGCAGCAGGTGCACCACATCGTCCACGGTGCACGGCGAGCCCTCGCTCAGCCGCTGCTGCAGCGAGCTCTTGCGCTCGGCGGCCGGGTCGGCGCGCCGCTCGTCGTCGCGCCGCTCGCGGTACACGATCGTGTAGACGAGCTCCCAGAGCCGGCGCAGCTTCTCCTGCTTGCTGCCCAGCTGGGAGCGCTGCACCAGCCGCTGGACGGCGCTGAACAGCGTGGCGTCGGGCGAGTCAAGCGGAACCTCGACGTCCGGCACGCCCGGCACGCCGGGGCCGCGCAGCATCAGCCGCAGCCGCGGCTCCGACGACGGCTCGTCGCCCGGCTCGCCCAGCCGCCGCGTCTGGCTGCCCGGCGGCGGCACCTGGCGACACCCGAGGCACAAGCGTCAGGCACCGCCGCGGCAGGATGAACACGCCGGCCGGGAAACGCACGTGACGTCACCACATCGGAAGCACGGTGCCGGCCCGGCGTCGCCATCACCGGCATGCACGTGCGCTTCGCGAACCTTCGTTTTCGCTTCGCTTCTCACCCCACCGACATTCACGGCCCACTGAGCCCGCAGAGAACATGCCGGCCGGCCGGCGGCCGCGCCGCGGCTCCGCACCCGCCCGCCGGCCGTCCGCCCCGCTCACCTGAATGTCCTGCGTCTGGGCCACGTTGGTGCGGCCCGGCCGCGGGTCGAAGGCGGGAATGAGCGCCGGACACTGGCGCTTCAGCACGGTGTCGTCGTCCCAGGCGTGGCGGCGGCCAGGCCGCGGGTCGAACGGCTCCTCCTCGCCGCCGCCGCCACCACCGGCCGGCCCGCCGCCACCCTCGTACTCGTCATCGTCGTCGTTCTCGTCGGCCAGCTCGTCGTCGTCGGTGAGCTCCGCCAGCAGCGTGGTGTGTCGGCACGACTCGAGGAAGTCCTCCAGCGATACCTGCCGAGCACAGGACGCGGTCACCATTCGCTCAGTGGGATGCGCTACCCGGACTAAGCGTCCATAAACGGGCAGCAATTCACGGACAATGCAGGCTGTGGTAATGGAGAATGCATGCCCATAGTCCCCACTAGGATTGTTCGTATCTTGCAAACTTCTCATTCTAGTGTGTGCATCACCACATATCAGGCGAACGACCATAAAACAGCTTGGAAGCGATTGCAGAAGTGCGAAGTTCACCGGGCACGTGAACATGACAAGCATTCCACAACCAAAACAGTAAAATGCACACTCGCATACACTTGTCCACAATGCTTCGAAAAACTGAAGAGCAATTGGAATACAAAAAAAAAAAAATGTAATAAGAAAACAGAAAGACCTTCAACAGCTTCGCGTCCAACTGTGACAACTACGCCAAGGCGACCGTTCGGGAGTTGTGCTGCGCGGGCGCGCTGTAGCTGCCGCCGCCAGAGCGCAGCGTTCGTTCTCACCTGCTCGCTGTCCGACGAGTTGGACGTGAGCGACATGGTGAGGCCCTGCGTAAGCGCGCTGGTGGCCGTGTTGGTCACCAGCGTGTTGCCCGACGACAGGCTGGGGAAGGACTGTGCTGTCGACATGAAACTCCCTGCGGGCGAGGCCAGACCAGGCGTCAGCGGCGCCACCGCCAAGCACACGGCGCGCACCCTCCCTCCCCTCACGACTGCACGCGGGCCGCTCGCTGGGCTGCCATGCGCAAACAACCACCAGTCTGGCCGGAGCGGCGCGCTCCAATACCACTTCAGTTGGGGTGACATAGTCGGGTGAGACTGGTGTAGTTTTGCCACGGTATTACCGACGTTACGTTCGTAACCAGGTGTCCAACTAAGCCCAACCCCCTCAAACAATATCTCAGTTACCAGGTCACCCAGCGTATCCCACAAGTGGCGGTGGCGGCCGGGCAGCGGGGCGCTTACTGTGCAGCGGGATGCTTACCAGACAGCGGGGCACTCACCGAGCAGCTGGACATATAGCGGGTAGCGGGGCGTTCACCGACAGCGGGGCACCCAGCTCACCGGACAGCGGGGCACTCACCGGGCAACGGGGCACTCACCGGGCAGAGGGACACTCACCTGGCAGCGGGGCATTGAGCGCCAGGCGAGCCAGGCTGCTCATGCTGGTGGTGTTTGGCGCCCGCAGGAACGGGCCGCAGCCGGCGCCGGCGGGCGTGGTGACGGCCGTCGGCGCCGGGTACGCGCCGGCTGGTGGCGCGCGACGAGCCGGCGCCGCTCGTGCCCGAGGCGCGCCGCCGCACCATCGCCGAGAACATCTCCAGCAGGCCGGCAGACTCGTCGTTCAGGTTCGGCGTGCTAACAGACATCGACGAGCGCTGGTTGTTGGGCTCGGAGGCCGTGACGGCGGCAGCGGCGACAGCGGCAGCGGCAGCGGTGGTGGTGGTGGTGATGGTGGTGGCGGCAGCGGCGGCAGCGGCGGCAGGCGGCGGCAGCGGCGGCGGCGGCGGCGGCAGCAGCGGTAGAGGCGGCCGGCGGCGGCGGGGGTGGCGGCGGTGGCGGTGGCGGCGCGGTGGCGGTGGCGGCGGCGGCTGGGTGGCCAGTGCCGCTTGGCACGGGAAGAACGGCGCCGCCGAGGTGGCCGGCGGTGTGTCGGACGCGCTGTCCTCGCCGCCCGACAGCCAGTCGGAGCTCTCCAGGATGGCGTCCATCTGCGGCACGAGGCGTCACGTCACGCCCTGTCACGCGCCACTGGCAACTGCTGTCGACAGTGGAGTGGCGCCAGGACGGCATCACACACACGAGACCCGAAAACGCTCCTCACTCATCAGCACCTGGACGAACACCCAGCACCCGTCAGAATAACTGACGCATTGATGTTTGAACACCGCGGGACTGTCTCGCACAGCACGGCCTGCACGAGTGCCAGCTTTACTCCTCGCACTCCCGCTCACCTTGTTTCCGAACACCACCCGAGAGAGGACGGAGTCCGTCGTCTGGTCCAGCGACGACATGGCCTCGGCGTTGGCCAGCGTCAGCACGTTCTCCGCCACCGCCTCGGCCGCCTGCTGCGGGACGGAGCAGAGCAATTTCAGGGGCCGGCAAACACGTCCTCAGTGACGAGAATCACTGGTGGCTCATACAGTCGACCACACGCATGACCTCGACGATCCAAAAACGCATGGCCCGCGTAATACATTCCGAGCAAGTTGACCACAGCCATCTGGACCCCCAATACACCACCCGTGTGAGCTTTTCTGAGCTATTGGTAGATGTCCCACGCCAATGAGTGACATCTTCACCGCGGCGCACCGGCCGTGCGAAGCCGTCTCCGGCGGCGGCACCGGCGCAGCTTGGTTCGGCGGTCGCCGCGCGGCTGGCCTACCTTGGCGGCCAGGTTGTCGGCCGAGGCGGCCTGCTCGGTGGAGGCCACCGAGTGCCGGTCGTCGGTGGCCTCGGGCAGTGACGGCGTCGAGGACGACTTGCGGCTGGTGAGCACCGACTGGCGCGGCTTGGCGGTCGACGTCGACGGCGGCGCGCCCGACGACGGCGGCGCCGACCCGGCTGACGGAGAGGTCACCTGGGAGCAGCGCCAGCGACGCTGACAGGCGGGCGCCGACACCCGAGACCGGCCACGGTCACACGGAGGACGAGTCCAGCCCCGGCACGGGGGCACACGAGCCGGCACACAACCACGCATGGGACGCCCGCCCACACATCCAGTCATGCTGGCTGGGTTCCGGTCGCACAGACAGGACCACCACCCAGACGCCGGGTCGAGGCCGAATGTAGCGGGCGGGCGGCTGACGCCAAACATCATCGTACGCCAGCATCGACAAGGAGCACGCCGACAGTTTCCTGTCGAGTGGGCCCACACAGTGCCGGACGCCGGCACCCTCCGGCCGGCGGAGCACGCGGCAGAATCCCGCATCGCCAGACCCACCTTGACGACGGCGGCAGAGGTGGCCGTGGCGCTGCCGGACTTGGCGGCCGCCCGTACGCCCGTGTTCGACTCCGGGTCGTAGCCGGGCGCCAGGCATAGGTCGAACTTGCCCTCAGCGCCCATGCGGTACGAGTTGCTGCCGCCGTTGTCCCAGGTCACGTCGATCCAGCCTGCGGCACGCCGGCGGACCGATCAGCTGAGGTTGGCGGGGCCCGTTCGCGCCAGAAACGCGCTGAAGACTCAGCTGTGCACCACGGCTGCACTTGGGTAGAAGAGCTGGACAGAAGCCGACCAGCCCAATGAAAGATCGGGTTGTTCACCAAAACGTCACAATCCACGTGACGGCGAGCCTCGCAAGGAGGGCCAACAGTACACCACCGCTCCTTCGGGGAGCGTCGGGTGACGGCTCGATGCGCGCCCGGCGCCTGTCGTCGGTCCTCTACGGAGCCGGGGGTGCCCCCGCCGGCCCGAGCCTGGGCACGGCCTTTGCGCCGCTCACCGTTGTGCAGCTCCGACATGCTGGTGCCGACGCCCGGCGGGATGCCGTCCTGGTCACGCCACTTCCAGTCGACGCCACGCACCACGCGCGCGCCCGGCACCATGTACTTGAGCTGGTTCTTGATCTGCGGCGAAGGGACCGGGCAGCGGGTGGTGAGCGGACGCTCGCAGCCGGCGGCGACCCGTGGCCAGACTAGCCGCTCTCGCTGGACACACTCCAGCCCAGTGAACCGTGCCGACAACGGTGACCTCGCTCAGAACGAGTCCGAAAGTTTTTGTTCATCCCAGCGAATGCAAACGCAGAGCCTATCCAAACTGTCTCTACCGCCGACCATCACTGCACGCTGGCAGTCCATTCGCTCTTGCTCTTGACAGCGACCGACACTCTTCGCCGCCAACATAGCCGCCTACGCCAACCGACACAGCTGCACATTCCCGCCCCACACATGCATAATAAACGAACCGCTCTGGCCCCGACCCCGCAGCAGCGTGCGCGGGCTCCCGCGGCGCGGCGTCGCGCCCGACCCCGCGTGGGCGGCGGCGGCGGCGGCTCACCTGGCGCCTTTGTCGGCGCAGCGACGCTTCCGCCTCGCGCGCCGCCTTGCCCAGGTCGCTGCAGACGCCCGTCACCGTGCCGTACACTTCCAGCCCGGAGAGGCTGAGGTAGTGGGTCTGTCCGGACGCGTTGCGGCCCGTCTGCTGGATGCGCACGTGACGCCAGCCCTGGCGGGGAGCGGCCCGGTCAGGGGAGACGCGCCAGGCCGAGACGAGCGCGCCCCGGCAGACGGCGAACAGCACGGCACGCCGGACGGCCACATCGAGACCCAGCGTAGAGATGCGACATGTGGTGCCCGAGCGAGACCGAGCAGCTGGCAAACCAGCCCGAGCGCCATCTCCTCAGAAACAGGCCGTATTTCAGCAAAAGCTAGATGCCTCTGCAATAGCACCTGTCTATAGATACGTCAGCAAATGTCACCCCTCACAGGCATTTGGCTGCATCCGAGGACCTCCTCCACCGTCGGCCGGGACCCCCGCCGCCCGGCTGGACAAACCTGGGTCCGCCGGCGGTGACGCCCGCCGCCCGGCTGGACACACCTGGGTCCGCCGGACCGCCCGTCTGCTCACCTGAGTCTCGTCGGTGGGCGCCAGCAGCGGCCACGAGGCCGTGCTGCCCGGCTCATTCAGCGACGTGTCCTCGATGTGCATGTACAGCGTGGTCCACGACAGTCCGTCCTTGGACACCTGGCGGACGGCAGCAGTCACTGCGTCACCAGCCGGTGCGCGCGACACAGGAGCGTGTACGGGCACGCCGCAAGGTGCGCTTCACCAACTCGAGAGCGTTTACAGCCCAGCTTAAGAGCACACCACCACTGTCACCACTCTCCAAACGACATCACGTCAAGGGAAGTCTTAACACAGCTAATGACATGCAGCACTCCCCCCCCCCCCTCCCCCCCCCCCGCCGAGCCCGGGCCGTGGCGCGCTCCCACCGTCCGCCGGCGCGCGGCGCGCGACGCCCACTCCCCCGTCTCACCTGGAAGACCCAGTTGCGGAGCGCGCTGCGGCCGTAGCCGCGCGCGTGCCGCAGCGTGTAGCAGGTGGGGATGACCCAGAGGCCGAGGTCGACGGCCAGCCAGGCGCGCTTGTCGTCGTTGGTGTGGCAGTTGAGTGGCGTCGGGTCGCGTGACAGCACGTCCTCCAGCCGGCCGTACGGCAGGTTACGGCCCTCCGACGACGTCACCACCACCAGGCCGTACTGGCACGGGTTTACCCACTCGTAGGCCGTCCTGCGGCGGCGGCGGACGCTCGATAAGAGGGAGGAGGCGACGGCGGCCGCGTCAATGCCATCTCCGCTCACATTCGCTGTGAGAACGTCACGAGCCTTGGGTTCACTGGACATATGCAAGGCATAGGGTCTCAAATCAATCACTGCCGGCAAGCAGCACCTGCCGTCACCAGACGTGATGACCTTGCATCGCGCACCACCAGCATGTCATTCCGCAAATCACAAACTCCGCCCGACACCGGATATGGCTTTCCGCCAACTGCCGAGCCTGACCCAAGCTTCGGCGGCGGTCTGTCGTCAGCCACTCACTTGGCGTTGGTGCCCACCCAGTAGATGATGCCGTTCTCATCGAAGTCAGACTGGTGCGTGAACACGATGCTCGGGCTCTCGCGAATGCGCTTGACGAAGGTGAAGGTGGACCGGTCGTGGTCGTACCACTGCTTGGCCACCTGGCAAGGTCGGCGGGCGGTCAGACTACGGCGAGCTCCGGCAGCGCCGCGGGCAGGCCCCGGCCGGACCACCGTACCGCGCCTGAAGCCGGCCCTCCGGCCGACACCGCACTGACGACACTCAGGTAGCGACTGCACAGCCGTAACGACACCCGCGACCCATCGACATAACGCGACACGACACATGTGGCCCATCGACATAACACGACATGGCGACACCCGTGGTCCATCGACATAACACGACATAGCGACACCCGTGGCCCATCGACATAACACGACATGGCGACACCCGTGGCCCTTCGACAAAACACGACATAGCGACACCAGTGGTCCATCGACATGGCACGACATGGCGACACCCGTGGTCCATCGACATGGCACGACATGGCGACACCCGTGGTCCATCGACATGGCACGACAAGGTGACACCCGTGGTCCCATCGACATGGCACGACAAGGCTGACACCCGTGGTCCATCGACATGGCCGACATGGCACACCCGTGGGTCCGACTGGCACGACAAAGTGACACCCGTGGTCCATCGACATGGCACGACAAGGCGACACCGCGTGGTCCATCGACAGGCCCAGTCCAGAAAACCAGTCCGTACAGGGCCATGCAAACACATCCGGTACATAACGTGCGTGGGCCACCAGAAAACCTAGCGTCCGCATCCATGGTACTTTGGGGTGATAGGACGGATACAGAGATGTTAACGACGGAGCAAGGCCACAGGGCACGGCAGGACCACAGGGGGAGTAGGACAGGCACCTCTTCAGATCGGCCCAGCACCGTACCTGTTTGAGGAGGTAAGCGCTCGAGCTGGCGGACGGTGACCAGCGGCTCCATCTTGAGGGTGCGGCCGGTGCAGTCGATCAGGCCGGAGTCGCTGGGCGGCCCGCTCCATCGGAACCGCATCCGCAGCTGCAACACCTGCCGCGGGGGCGCGCCCAGCCGCTCAGGTCGCGGACGGGTGGCACGTCGCAGCGGCATTCCAGGGGCATTCGATGGGCGAGGAGACGGGTCTCGAGCGGCACAATGCCCAAGGCACGACTCACACGTCTGACGATCGATTACACTAAAAGAGACGCGTACATTGTCACTGGTCAGGGCAGTGTCCATCGGACAAAGATTGCGATTCGAACGTCACATCCGTTGTCGGCAGCGAGGACGGCTGCTGGCCCGCGGCAGCGCCCGCCGTTCCCTGCCGACACCCTCCCCATCACCCAGCGGAGCGGCCGGCCCAGCTCGGCGCCGGACCCGGGCCGCGCCCGCTCACCTGGAGTCCGCTGACGGTGCCCGTCGAGTCGTAGTTGTAAACCTGCAGCTTCTCGATCGACTCGAGCACGGAGACCAGCTTGCGCACCAGCGACACGCCCGGGTGCTCCTGCGACGCCCCAGCCGCCTCCTGGCGGACAGCAAGAGAAACGGCGTCAGACGCCAACCCCGCCGGCCGTTCAGACCCGCTCCCAGCATCGACTCATCACGATCAGCAGGCTGGCATCGCGACCGAGACCAGGCCGGCAAGTGGCCGTCCGCCGCCGGCCGTTCAGACCCGCCCGCAGCACCAACTCATCACGATCAGCGGGCTGGCATCGCGATCGAGACCAGACCGGCAAGAGGCCGTCCGCCGCCGGCCGTTCAGACCCGCTCCCAGCACCGACTCATCACGATCAGCGGGCTGGCATCGCGATCGAGACCAGACCGGCAAGAGGCCATCCCCGCCGGCCGGCCGCCAGCGGGTGGCGTCGCCGTCGCCACCGCCTCACCTGGAAGCACTGCTTGAAGAGTCGCTGTCGCTGCTTGAGCAGCCGGTTGGCGCGCCGGCTGGTGCGGTCGGGCGAGCTGAGCAGCCGCAGCAGCGCCTGCAGCAGGCCTGACGAGTGCAGCTCGTACGCCGAGACGGCCCGCTCGTCCGACAGCAGCGTGATCAGGTCGCCGAGCGCGGCGCGCAGGATCGGACGCCACTCGTCGGTGCTGTCGGCGGCGGACGCGGTCAGCGGCGGCGCACGCGGCCCGCCACGGATTGGCGCAAAATCCGGCACCGGTCACCGGTCACCAGAGGCCGTACGCCGACCCCCTCCCCCCTCCCCACGCATACACACCTCAGGCAACAGACCGACACACACGCGGCTGGGTGCAAACGCACACGCATTCGCCGATCCCGACTCGCAGTCGCCACGATCTGGGCAGCAGCTGGGAGCGCCGGGCAATGACATCCCAGGCTATCGCTCAGCGCGACTGATGACACGACGAGAGAGGCTGACGCCGGCTCCGCGTCGGCCCGGCGCGAGCGAGCGGGGCGCGGCGGCCGCCCGCCTGTCCGGCGCGTCCCCACACCCACCGGTCAACGGCTGCCAGCTGTTTGTGGCAGGCGCGCTCGATCTGCGCCACGATCGTGCCCAGCTTGGCGACCACGCCGCGAGGCTGGGACTGCGCAATCTTGAAGTACTTCTCGTAGATCTCGCGCGCCTGGGAGCGCACCTGTAGGCATCGGACCCAAAGTTGAGTCAGGTCCAAGTCAGTCAGTCAAATAGAGTCGACAAACGTCTCAATACGAGGCTCAACGTATGGAGACGACAGATAACGTAGATTTCGTCGCAAATGCTCTCTGCCTCTCTCTGCTCAGCAAAAATTACTTATTGTGCGGAGATTATTCCAACTGAGTTTGCACAGCAACGGCCCGATACCAGCACACCGTCCGCACCTCCTGCCGACAGTGTTTGCCGCCCGCCCGCCACCCACCCAGCGCCACGCCGCCCCAGACAAGCTGACCTTCTGTTTGACAGCCTCGACCTTGGAGCGGAAGCGCTTGCCCTTTTTGCCGGCCCAGCCGGCCGACAGCTCGGGCCCGAGCGACGTCTCGGCCGTGAAGGTGTGCTTGGTGCCGCGGTTCGACTTGAACAGGAAGCCGGGCAGGTCCTCTCGCAGCGTGGTCGTTTGCTGGCGAGCCAGGCCACACGGCGTCAGCTGGCGACCGGCTCGACTCGGCACGGCATGGCACGGCATGGCACGGCATGGCACGACACGGCACGGCACGGCACGGCACGGCACGGCATGCAGGTCAGCGGCCCGGCAGGGGAGAGAGCGGTCAGGATAGTGCAACTTGTCACACGCCCCACGACCCAGCCACATCATTCGATGATTGAGCTGGTTACGGACGATGACGAAACAATGAATGGCCTGGTGGGCAGTAGTCGCGCATCATCTGAACCTCAGAGGTATGAGCCGACAGCGGGCCAGACCGCACTCAAGGCTCCAGGCGAACACGTTCAAGGTTCTTAAATTAGTCCCTAGATGGCAGCCCAAACGTAACCAAATCGCTTGGCTACAAAAAGCTTCCGACCACTAAATTCATCCGGATAATGGTCCCACGCGTCGCGGCCAACGAGAGGCGGCACACAATGGAAGAATTGTGATCGAGTATGTTTAACATGCGGACATAATTGTCCACCTAATGACGCCCAAGCTATGAAAACTAGCACACACTCTGTTCTGTCGGATGATCATGATGAAAAATCGCGACGCCCCGCGCTCGTGCCTTAAACTAATGAGTAAGGAAATTAACGAGCCTTGGTGACGCTTGGCTCTGCTGAGATCACTCTAGCTTCAATTTTTGACGGGGTACAGGTCGTCCCACGGGCGGGCAGCCTACTTCGCTGCCTGCCTAGGTGATTGCGATCTGCCCTACTGGGCGGCAATGGGGAAAATACAGGACAACAAGCCGGGGACCTGTGCGTGTGGCAGCCCCGCCTCTCCTTTAGCTGATGGGTACGGTCAGAAATCAAACCCCAGCGCGGCCAGACTGAGAGAATCGGACCGCGGCCCGGAGACGGGTCGGCCGCCACGCACCAGGCAGGAGCTCCCTCCCACCTGCTGTCCGTCGTTGTTGTTGATCGCCAGCTCGCCGTCGCGCCGGCAGCTGAGAGACCAGTTGCCGACCACGAGCCGCGCGGCCGACGGCTGGCTGAGTACCGGCTGCGACGCCGACTGGGGCCGCACCGAGGCGCGCGCCCGCTGCAGCTTCTCCAGGAACTCGCCGCGGTTCTCCGAGCTGTCCGAGCCGCCCTCCGGGCTGCCAGAGCTGTACATCGTGGCCAGCTTGCCGTCCAGGATGAACCTGACGGGGCGGGCGTGCCCATCAGCGCAGCGAACACGCCGACACCACCTGAACCTGAACCAGAGCCAAGCCTGAGCCCAGGCCTGAACCTGAACCTGAACCTGAGCCCGGGCCTGAGCCTGAGCCTGAGCCTGAGCCTGAACCTGAGCCTGAGCTTCAGGCTGTGCCACAGACTCCTGAACCCGTCCCGGGGGCCGGTCACACACCTGAACCAGCCGTTGCTGCCGTTGCTGAGCTCCAGGGCGGCGGCGTCTGACCAGATGTAGAGGCAGTCGCGGCCACGGCAGATGCACCAGTCGCGCCACTGGTACGCCTTGCCGGGCAGTATCTCGCGCGCGTCCTGCTCCGGCTGCGGCTGGTCACAGGACTCCTCCGGCTGGACGGCACAGGCGTCACACGTCACACCACCGTCACGGACGTTCACGGCGACGCTCCGTACCGCTGAGCACCGCTCCTCTGGCTAGACTCCGCAGTCAAATATGGGCGCGCTTACTATCTAACCATCGCAATGCACTTGGGAGCCGCGGGCGATCTAGGCTACGCCACAACGCTGCCTGTGCCGGCATGACCGCCCGTTCGTCGATGGCTTTTGCCCGTCTCTCACACACTGGCCCAGGGCACATCGTCCCGTCCAACATATGGCCCAGGCGGGCCAACGCTCGCAGACCTGGGACGCTGTGCGCCGCGCCACCCCCGCCCACCGGCCGCAGCCGGGTGGGAGCTACTCACCAGTCTGTCGGCGCACGCTCCGAGCGACTGCGGGCTGGCCGGGCGCGGCTCGCCCTCCTCCTGCGCGCCCGCCATCTGGCCCACCTTCGTGAACAGGCCCAGCCGGGCGAAGTGCTCGAGGAAGGTGTCGGCGCCCTTGCGCAGCACGTCCTCGGTGATTTGGAGCGCCACCGCGTGGCCCTCCTCGTCGTCCTGTGCCGACACCGGACTCCGGTCACGCGCACGGCACGCGCAACTTCAAGAGCTCATTGTGGGTAGCCAACGAACGAACCAGTACGCGGACGGAACAAAAACCATGCTACATTCATCCACGTACCGATGCTCGTCTGACATGCTTGTTGCCCTTGTAGCGGCAACATCGTTGTTCGCCATCTGGTTTGTCAGTGACGCGCTGCCAGCCGAGCAAGACAGCCGCACCCACAGCACTGACACGATACGAGAGCCGCCGAACCACAACGGAGTTTTTCACGTTCTGCATTTTGTGCCGGAGGCAACGGCAGTGAAAGGAATGATACAACAGCTGGTAAGACCCCCGCACGGCCAGTCAGTGTCGCCCTGGGACCAAGGCAACACCGACTCTCCACGTGCCGTTCCGGCGCCATCGGCTTCCCGTCGGGACAACGCTCAGTGGCGCACAGCCATTCACTGGTGCATCCCGATAGCGCCCCGCCGGGATCAGATGACACCAATCTGCAGACCACGAGTGGGGTCCTCCTCGTAACCACTCACCTCCGCGTCTAACACGACATCGAGTACTTCAACAATATTGCCGGCCAGGTCGCCCTGGCACGTCTCCATTAGCAGACTAGGCGATATGAAATACAACATCTTGCGCAGCAGGTTCAGTGACGACTTCCTGTAACAGCGGAGGGCGGGAGGCTCAGCCTCTGCTTCCCACCGGTACGCGCAAAGCCCGCACAACGCACCCCAGTGCAGCGGCGGGCAATGGGCAGGGCGCAGCAGACGGCCGTTACGCCCACGGGCAGGGGGCGTCTGGAGCTGTTGACGCTCAGAATGGCGGGCGAGTGGGAGTCCCGACACCACACTGGCGGGTCCGATGGCCCGGGGACGGGTCTTCCAGCGATCTAGAGCCACCGACGCCTTCCACGGAGCGACGGCGCCCAGTCAGTGCCCACACATGGATTGTGAAATGACCACGCCAGATTGCAACAGTTTATCCGGTACGGCTCAGGACGACCCCAGTGCTTGTGCATTCGAGACCGCGTTCCACCAGAGGACGACCTGAGCCCTGATACTCTGATCTGATTTGTCTACGTCCACTAAGCCCTAGGGTGTGTCTGGTTCATGCGAGCCTCTTTTGCTTATTGCGTTTTGTCTTTGCGCGCTTCGTATAACAGAATGCCTGAAAGATCTGATTGTGCAGCGCGGCATGATGCTGCTGACAACTGCTGCCAGCCGTTGATGATCAGTGTGCTACCTGCGGTCACATCTGGCCATGATGCCGAGTCGGCTGCCTGCCGCTGGTGGCCGTGGTGGGCCAGTTACCTGACGCTGGTGACCATGGTGTCCCGGAAGGTGCGGCAGAACATGGGCAGCAGCAGACGAAGATAGAGCGGCGCCATTGCAGGGTCACCGCGCGGCTCCTCGCAGCGCGCCGCCTCGCCGGCCGGGCCAGGCCCCGCCGGCACCGGCTCGGCACCGCCGCCGCTGCCGCCGACACCGGCAGGACGTCGCTCCTTGTCGGCCGGCAGCATCCACTCGCCGGGCGACTGCAGGATAGCGGCCACCTGGCGGGCAGATCGGCAACTGAGCACGTCCTGAGATGCGGCCGCCCCAAGCGTGGTACATCTCAGCAGGCACGGACTCAGGCCGCCGCCGCGACGGACGGCACACAGAGCGACGACACCGACAGGAAAGCCCGAGCACGGACAAGATAACGGCAGGCAAACGCCATCAGTATAAACAAGCTAATCGTGCCCGAGTCGACATAGCACGTCACTCCGCAGCGCGCTCGTGTCGGTCGGCCGCGCCGCGACAGAGCACCGCACACGAGTGGAGCGGGGCGCTCGGCGGACCGACCTCGCGATGGCCCTCGTCGTTGCGCTCGCGCGCCTTGTCCAGCGGCGTCTTGCTGTCTTCGTCGCGCAAGTCGGGGTTGGCGCCGCAGCGGAGCAGCACTTTGGCGATGGCCGGCCGGCCGAAGCAGGCGGCGTAGTGCAGCGACGACGAGCGCTGGCCTGGTGGCGGAGCGGGCCGACCGGCTGGCGTCAGGGCGGGACAGGCGGCCGGCGACGGCTCGGCGGTCACCGTCCAACAGCCAGCGGCCGGATATGAACGCACACATACGGACAAACGCGTATACAGACACAGGGTCTCAGTGCACCGACGCAGACTTCACGCCATGCCAGCACCTTGACAATTCACTGCGCAGTTAACACGGCCCAGCGGCGTTAGAATCAGAGACGTATTCCACTCAGCATGGCTGGTTTCATTGATCGCGGCCTTGACGCACCAGGAGCCCGTACGATGACCATGGGCAGCTCATTAGCCCAACAGCAGCAGCTCATTGGCCAAATAACATAGATGGTTCACATTCGAGCCGTGCGTGAACGCTGCCGTGGGCAAGCTACCCTCCTTGTCGGGAAGACAACGCCTTTGATCAGACCCGAAGCACGGCGACCGCCAGCCCCCCAAATGCGAGGCTGGTGGTTCTCCTTTGACCACCGACATGACAGAGAAACACGCCAATTGGCTGACTGAGCCAAATTCATGAATATATATTTGCGCTGAATGAACCAAGTTGCACTCCTGTTCCACAGCGGATGGAAACCATCACTAGCTACTGCGCGAATCACGTCAAGACGTCTCGGCTGATCCGACCAGACCGAATCAGTTCAATCCCAGTTTTGGCTTGATTCCACGTCAGGTGGCACCTCAGATCGATACCGTCCTGGCGCGTCACCTGACAACCGGTTCAGCACAGGCCGTTGTAGCATTCCGCGGCAATGAGGCAGCCTGCCGGCACTCGCCACAACGCCACACGACGGGCGGTGGACGCCGAGTGCGCGGCCGCCGCGACCCGTGCCGTCCGCGCAGGGCGGCGGCCGGCCGGTCTGGCCCAGCCGGCGGAGGCTTGCCGTCGCCGCCGCTGGCCTATCGGGCCGGTGCCGGTCGCGTGCGGGGCGGCCGGGTCGCGTGCCGCACGTGACGGCCGCCGCCGGGTCAGGTCACCGGGCCAGACGGGGCGGGGCCGGCGGCGGGCGGCGACGGGACCGGCGGCGCGGCCGGCGCATACAGCACGCTGCAGTCTGGGCGGCGCGCTCAGACTCAGTCCAGTCAGACAACCGCCACCGCCACCGCCGGATCGCCCCGCCAGACACAGGCAGAAAGACGCGCCGTCCCGTGCTGGCCATTAAATGAGGATCAGCGCCGACAGCAATGTTTCACGCGCCGGCCGCGGGGACCAGCCGCTCCAGTCGACGACGATGTACGGAAGCTTGCGACACAAAAAGCTCGGGAGGCCAAGGCTGAGACCGCATCTACCGCTGTTGTTGTTTATTGGAGTTTAGGGGCGCGCCGACTGCGGTGGTCATTTGGCGCCCATAACGAGTGCCGTAATCTACCGGGCTTGGTGTCCTGGAGGACACCGTTTATCCATGCCGCCGTAGCTGTTCGTCCAGCGGCACACGAACAGCTCGACAGAGCGCCAGGCCGGCCGGCGACTGAGCCGCCGTCCACGGGGTTGGGGGCACGGTTGCGCAGGTGGGCTGATAACCGGCCGCTGCGCTCGGTCCGGCCCGAACTGCTGAGTCAACGTAAACACGGGCCGGACTCTGGGCCCAGACGGCGCTGGTCCGCTGAACCCGAGCCGACGCCGCGACGCCCCCCCCCCCCCCCCCCAGCCCACTAAGGTGGCGCTGATCGGTGCCGCTCGCCGATCGTGGGAATCACTCCACCAACAACACGTACCCGGACACCCCGGACGCCCTGCCTTCAACAGAACCATGGCAAAAGCAGTTACGACAGCCAAAACGCAATTGATATCACGGCGAACAGCTGGGCCCTGCCAGTGCCGGCTCTAGGCAGCACTCGCATCGATGGCGGCATCGCGAGCTTCGCATCGGGAACTCCAGCCACTCGCATCAAACCGCCACGTCACCATGCCTTCAGGCGGACGCGCGTGGCGCAACCACGAGGGCGACGTACTTGCGGCTGGGAGGGCCAAGTTTACTCCTAGGCCCGTGCTCGGTCGTGTCTCGCACGCAACCCGTCTCAGCATTGCAAATTCAGCTAGTGGAATGTGCAGGATGTAAGCATAAATTCATTCCGTGCCGGCATTGCAAATTCATCTAGTGGGATGTGCAGGACGTAAATATAAATTCATGTTACCCGAATCCTGGCTTTCCGGAAGCTTCCGGACACAATGCGTTCGTGCTAATCCATTGCCCTTTGACCCCGAACTGGGCCATCTGGCCTGCACGGGCGCATCTGTCCAGCATCTGATGCGCTAGACCTGGGCTGAACACCGCCCCGGTCCGATGCTGATTGGTTGATGTGAAGAAGGTGGAGAGGCAACAGGCAGCGAAAACGCAAGCCGGGGATGTGACAGCATGAACAAATGTCGGCATCCCCACCACCGAAATGCCCGAATGCTGGAACAATGTGCCAATGTGCCCATGCCTTACCCCCGCACACCTGGGAACGGCGAAACCCGCGGACCCGGCCCTCTTCGGGTTCGAATCGCCGCGAAGGGTCAAGCTGACTCACAGCCTGCCGTCCCTCGCGGACCTACCGTGGAGTCACACACCGACTCTGACTCATGCCATGCAGCGCCCACAGAGCTGAGGTCGTGGGACCTGCCTGACCAGCCGCGGCGCAGCTCTGCGGCGCCATCGTGGCGCCATTCGCTCGACGCACATGTCGTGGCCATGCCGGACACGCGCTACAACTGCCGAGAGGGCCCGCTTCGGATCGAACACCGAGGCAATGGAGGCTTGCACTAGCGGGCCGCTCCCGACGCCAGCATGTCTGGACTCCCCGGTAGTTGTGTTGGTGGCGTGTTCCTGGCACGCGCGCTTGCATTTGCACACAGGGAACCGCCTATTGTGGACAAAACAGTGCCCGCCTGCGGCTCGGGAGACCAGTCACAGCGCCGCCGGCGCCCGGTGCCGAGGATGAGGTAGGGCGTGCCCCGGCACGCGAGATGGCGGCGCGCGGGCTGGCCCAGCCGTGACCCACCTCTGTTGACGTCGGCGCCCTTCTCGCACAGGTACTCGACCATCTCCTGGGTGCCGAACGCCGACGGCCCAGTTGAGCAGCGTCTGGCCGACGTCGTCCATGAAGTTGACCTCGGACACCCTGGCGGCGAGGCGGTCAGGACTGTCAACGAGACCCCGCTCAGGCTGTGATCGGGTTGGCCTGTGCCGCAGGCTTTACACCGCACGCGCTGAGATCACGTGCAGTCTCCATGTCAGTGTTAGCACAGGTCATCTAGTGGCCGCTGGGGGGCATGGCAGCGGTGGTCCGCCGTCGCGTCGCTCGCCGTCCGGAGCATGGGCCGTCAGACGTGCCGGGTATCCGCTGCGACAACCAACAAAAGCAGCGGCCAGACAGGCACGCCCCCGCGCGACACCCCGGCCCAAGTTCGACAGCCGGCCGGAGTCCGCGCCACGACCGACGGGGGGGAGGGGGGGGGGGGCGCCCATCGAGCCGCCACGCCCGGAATGGGGCCGTACGGTCAGTGACCGTGCATAGTCACCGGCCGGCATTAACAGACGATCAGCCGGCTTCAGCCCCGGCCCACAGGTCAGCTTATGGCCTGTCGCGCCACCGGACGCGCTCCAGCGCAAACAAACGGACCTCACCACGCTCGCTGCGCACGTGTCGCTCGCATGGACCGTGTCCGGCGCCCTACCAGATGGCGTGCCACGCGCAGCACAGCCGCTACACACATCCCACCAGCCGGTGCAGACCGAGTTCGCAGGCACCGCTCCGTGGTGATGCGTCTGACACCCCAGAGCTGTGGTCGCCCCGTCCCCACTGAGGTCACGGAGGCCCACAACGACTGAAACACACGCACACACACCACACACGCACGCACGCACGCACACGCACGCACGCACACGCACGCACGCACGCACGCACGCACGCACGCACGCACGCACGCACGCATTTTTTTCTCTCCCCCTCGTTCCCTCCCTCTCTCCACTCTCTCTTAGCCAGCTGGAGCAGCGCCGGTCAGATCCGGCGCTGCTCCAGGCGCCGCTCCCGCTTCCCCGGACCGTCAGCGCTGGCCGCGGCCCGCGCCTGACGCCGCCGTGCGCCCCCTCACCGCCGCTCTCGATGCTCTCGATGAGTGCGTCTGTGTCCTTGCTGCGGATGCAGTCGATGAGCTGGCGGTGCGAGCGCTCGCCGGCCGAGTCCATGCGCCGCAGACCAGGCAGACGGCTGGCCGGACTAACGCCCGTCCGCGCAGCGCGTACCGCCCCTCGAACAGCAGGATCAGCAGCAGGTCCACCAGACGCATCGTGTCCAGCACGCATCTGCGGCGGGCACCAGCGGCGGCGTCAACGGCAGCGGCAACGCAACGGCAAATCCAGCGGTCGCATCGCTTCCAGCCAGCATCCCAAGCGGGCGGCAACGGCGGGGTCAGCAGGGCTCACGGCCAGACCAGAAGCGGGTCATTCCAGTCCACAAGACTCAACGACACGTCCAGCGATTGCGTCGCGTTCGACAGGCAGCTCAAGC